ACGGGAGGGGAGTGACGTGAGAGACACCAGACGGGGCACGACGAGGCAGGAGAGGAGCAGGGGCTACCGGGGGAGAGGGAGCAAGGAACAGGGGCGGGGGAACCGGGAGACCTCAGTGAGGGAAGCGATGGTAGAAGGAGACAGACTCATCAAAGGTGACGTCACGAGAGTGGAGGAAGCGGTGAGACGGCGGGTGGTAGAAAAGCCAGTCAGACGAGTCCAGGGGGAAACCGAGGAAGACACAGGGGACAGTGTGGGCAGTGAGCTTGTCCGTGCCAGAGGCACGAACGTGAGCCAGGCAGCCCCAGACGTGGAACGCAAACGCGTCACCGGGGGACCCGGTCCAAAGGAGGGTCGGAGAAACCTGTGGCCGCTGGGAGCGGGGCCACAGGTTAAGCTGGTGAGCAGCGTAGCGAACACCGAATGGCCACAAAAAATGGGGAGCATCAGCATGGATCATGGAGGTATGAGCAACCTCCATGACCAAGCCGATGCGGCGCTCAGCAACCCCATTCTGCTGTGGCGAGTCCGGCAAGGTGTACGACTGGGTGATGCCCTCCGCACGACAGAACTGTCCAAGCCGACCAGAGGCAAACTCGCCGCCACGGTCAGAGTGGAGACACAACACGGGGAGGCCGCGGTGAAGACGCGCAGCTACAACCCACGGTAAGAGAACGTCGGGCACGTCGGCCTTCCGCTCCAGGGGAAACACCGTGGTGTAGCGCGTGTAGTCGTCAAAGAGCACAAGGAAGTAGCGCTCACCACGCGGTCCGGGGATGGGGGCAGGGCCCCAGACGTCCAGGTGCAGGGTCTGAAGGGGGGCAGTAGCAGGGCGCAGCGAGGAGGAGTGAGGAGCACGGCGGAGCTGGCCCTCGACGCAGGGCGTGCACGGTGGCGTAGTCGAGGGGGGAAGGGCAGGGAGCGAAGCGGGGAGGCTTAAGACAAGACCGTGCTGAGACATGTGACGCAGACGAGGGAGAGTAGGGTGACCTAAGCGGTGGTGCCATCGAAGGGACGGGTGAGTGAGGGACCTACACGAGCAAGCTGCAGCGACCTGGGAGGATGCACCAACCGGAGGGGAAGCGGTGTCTAGGGTGAACAGACCGGACACCGGGTCCCGGGGGAACGTCGCAAGGGGGGAACCTGAGACAGCCTCAGAACAGACAGCGAACCGCTTGTGCCCGGGGAACGTAGTGGTGACGCCGAGGTCCTGGAGGCATCCGACACCAACCAGGTTCCTCGAGAACGAGGGAACGTCGAGGCCTGTAAGGGAGACCGAGGGAACTGCTGGACAGGGTAGGGAAGTGGAGCTGCGGGTGTCGACAGGACCCGCAGAGGGGTCAGCGAGAGAGACAACAGCAGGTGCAGCAAGCGGCGAGAGCGTGGAACGGTCGCGGAAGAAGTAGGCAGAAGCACCGAAGTCGAGAGTGAAGGACAGCGAAGCAGTGGCGGAGGTCGGGAACGAAGCCGGTGCAGAGTCAAGGCTAGGCAAACTAGGCAGTCCTACGCGTGATGCAGCAGGGGAGGCTATGCTACACAAGGGTGCAACACCTAAACTAGAGTACACAGGGTAATAAGATCCAGCAACACTAGAAGCGTAAGAATACAAGGCATGCAAAGCAGCACCTACAGTATCTGATCCATGTCTAACTCAAAGTTCGGCACGCCATGGCGGAGCAGGCTGTGCCAGTCGGGGAGGTCCGGGGCCGGGCCAAAGCGACGACGAAAGAGATCGTCGAGGCGGTGGAAACAGCGGGCGGTCGGGTGCGGGCGGCGGCACAGAGTGCCGCGGAGAGGCCCGGTCTGAAGCTGGTACTGGCATGTGACAGCACCGGAGCTGCCGGTAGACGCCGAGCTGCGCGGGCCGCCACCACGGCCACCACCTCTGGAGGTGCCGGGCCAACCAGGGGGGAGACGGGCCCACTGCTGTGGCGGCTGCTGCGGGGATGGCAGCTGCTGCTAGGGCTGCTCCTGCGGCGGAGGGGACTGCGTCTGCTCCTGCCCACCGGTGGTAGTCCTCGCAGGCGGACTACCGTCACCACCACCGCTCCCACCACCACCAGCTCCACCACCCCGACCTCCCTGGCGGCCACGGCCACCGCGACGCGAGCTCTGCTGCGGGTGGACCACAGAAGCAGTCTCGGTAAGAGTGGTCGCAGCGGCGTCCACAGCCGAAACGTCGGTAAACGTGTACTGGGAGGGGGCACAGCCGTGAAAAATAGAGACTGCCGGCTCACTGCTCGACTGAGCGATAGTGCGCTGGCGAGTCTCGATCTCGGTGAGGGTGTCGACAAAGGCGGTGAGGGTGAGGTCACCCGGGTGCTGGCTAAGGAAGTGGTCGCGAGCACTAGCTAGGCGGTCCGGCAGGCGCATGGCGATAAAATAGAGCGTCATGCAGAAGGGGGGGGGGAGCGCAGTGAGCTGGGCAGCAGTGCTGGCAGTGCGATAGCGAGTCTCTAAGGCACGCAAGTGAGTGGCAAATTCTGCGACAGTAGGGAAGGCAGCAAGGTCTGGGAACAGCATCGCGAAGAGCAAGCGGCCGGCAGAAGCGGATGTAGGTGTGGAATAGCGAGCAATGACGGCGTCTAAATAAGCTTTGGCCGTAGCAACCGTAGCAAAACGCGAGCGCTCAGACACAGGGAGGGCGTGGCTAATAGCAACCTGAGCTACTGCATCGCAGGAGTCCCAGACCGCACGGGCAAGCGCAGCAGTAGAGAAGGTCTCACGGTCATTAGAGGAGGGGTCAGCAGGGAGGGGAGCAGGGGCAGGGGGGCGGGGGAGCACGCCATCGACATGGACAACCAAAGTGTGGCCATCCTGGCGCTGACCTGTAAGGTGGCGGCGAAGATCGGAGAGCCAGGCGGCGAAGTCAACCGCGTGGCCCTCAGCGTCCAGTCGGAGCATGAAGTCAGCCATCGTGCAAGGTCAGCGACATAGCTACACAGCAACACAGCAGCACCGCTCCACAGCTCCACAGGAACACAGCGGCGCGGGGACACGGCGGCAGCACTCTCCAGCAGGGCGGCCGCGAGGCGCCTCAGGGCGGGCGAGCAGAGGAGACTGGGCGCTAGGAGCCTGGCGGGCGCGGAAGGGCCGGGCGGCACTAGGAAGGGGCCGGGCCAGCGCTAGAAGGGGCCGGGCGGCACTAGGAAGGGGGCCAGACCAGCGCTAGGAGGGGCCGGGCAGGTGGTAGGAGGGGGGCCGGGGGGGCGCTAGGAGAGGCAGGGCGGGCGCAGTGGGGCCAGGTAAGCGCGCCTGGGCCAGGAGGGCACGACAGGGCCAGGCGAGCGCGGTGGGGCCAGGCGGGCGCGGAGGGGCCAGGCGGGTGCGACGGGGCCAGGCGGGCACGGAGGGGCCAAGTGAGCGCGACGGGGCCAGGCGGGCGCGACGGGGCCATACAAGCGCGACGGGGCCAGGCGGGCGCGACGGGGCCAGGCGGGCGCGACGGGGCCTAGCGGGCGCGACGGGGGGGCTGGAGGACGCTACGAGGCCTGGAGGGCGCGACTGGGGCTAGGAGGGCGCTACGGAGGCCAGGAGGGCGCGACGGGGGCCAGGAGGGCGCGACGGTGCTTGGAGGGCGTGACGGGGGCCAGGAGGGCACTATGGGGCCAGGAGGGCACGACGGGGGCCAGGAGGGCGCTACAAGGCCAGGCGGGCGCGACGGGGCCAGGAGGGCGCGACGGGGGTCAGGAGGGCGCGACGGGGCCTGGGGGGCGCTACGGGGGCCTGGAGGGCGCGTCGGGGGCCAGGAGGGGGCTACGGGGGCCAGGAGGGCGCGACGGGGCCTGGGGGGCGCTACGGGGACCTGGAGGGCGCGTCGGGGGCCAGGAGGGCGCTAAGGGGCGGGCGGGCGCTGCAGGCCAAGCGGGCGCTAAGGGCCGGGCCGGGCTAGGTAGGTAGGGGGAGGCGAGAGGCTAGGGCGCGGGCGGAAGCGGGTGGGTGGACCTAACCTATTCGATACCATGTTAGAAAGCAAGAATGAATGTACTAGGAAGAGAAACCTAGTACATGTACCTGTTGGGTTGTACTCACTAGAAGCACACACCTTGACCAGCCTATAACTTCTACATAGAACATATGTATAAGTTGACAAGCATACTTGCACGTTCATGCACATACTCTGCAACCGCTCTTCCCCGCCTCCATTGCGAGAGGGCGTTTAGGAGTATAAGCATGCGTAACACATAACAGAAAAAAAAAAAACAAAAAAAAACAAACAAACAAATAAAGACAAAGTGTAATTATTTTCAAACAAAAAAGCTAGTAACAATTGCCAATACCAATATGTGACTTTGGGGCCAACTTTGATAGTGTAACAAACGAAAAATATTGGGGGAAATGTTCCTTACAAGAGTTACTGATGGCCTTCCCGTATTCTGTTAATCTCGGTTGCAAGTGTACCAGTTTCGGGGAAAATAAAAAATGATAACGGGACGACGTGTACAGAGTTCAAGAAGCAACGATGCTGCCTGGGGACGGTAGACCTTCTACCCCGCTGCTACTATGGGTATAACAGCTCTGGGGCTGTTAGTAGGAGTAGAGATTTGAGAGATCCTTGAAGAAAGAGTGCTAGCTTAATCACTAGATCATATGATAGCTTCCAACAAAGAAGAGAGCACACTTATACTAGGAAATCTTTTCTTGGCATCTTGATACTCCTAAAGGCGCCTAGATAAGATCGCCCGTGGCGCCTTGGCATTTCTATCCTAGCTGGAGACAAGCAAGCAAGCTCATGATTATTTACAAGTAGCCTTGCCTTGTTGTCTCTCCTAGGAAATAGCTAAACAAGAATAGGAATTAACTATACAAGTCGTTTTCATTTTCCAAGTAGTGCTGGCGTCTTCGTCACCTTGTAGATGTCGATTGTAGTCTTTGCTGGCACTTGTAGTAGCTGCAGTAGTTAGTATCTAGGTTGCGCTGGCGCTTTCCACGCTTTGCTAGCTCTCGGAATCTGCTCTAGAGTCGTGCTGTGACTCACAGGCAGCTGTACAATTTTGGGGTTGCGGACTTGTTCAGTTCGAGGCGCACAATTTTGGTTGGACAAATCCAACCTCGAAATCTACAGTTCGCTGAGTTGGCGAACTTTTGGGTGAGTTCGCTTTCGCCTTGTAACATTACTCCCCTCCCCAGTGAGCACCGTCCTCGGTGCTGTCCTGGAAGCAAGATACTTAGTAAGGGCTCTCTGCGCGTACTGCAAACCACTTTCATGAATCCAAAGGTTGTGGGGCTCATCTAGCCCACGCCACTTCACAAGGTAGTAGGTGCCGTTGCAGGTGTCTTCATGAGCAAGGATGTTCTCAACTTCAGAAAGGTCAGGACTTGGAGTGAACATAGGAGGAGGAGGAGGCTTAGAAGATGAGGGAAAGTGAGAAGGGGGTTGATGGTAAGGGCGTAGAAGTTGAACGTGGAAGACAGGATGGATGTTGATGTGAGATGGGAGCTTAAGGCGAGGAGAGAGGACTTGGGTGATAGTGAATGGTCCAATGAAGCGAGGAGCTAGTTTACGAGTAAGGCCTTCTTGCAGTAGAGGGAGATTGGCCGTTGAGAGGAGAACCTGGTCACCTTCGTTGAAGTGGATGTCACGCCGATGCTGGTCAGCATACTGGATCATACGCCGCTGTGCTCGAAGAAGAGATGCACGTGCTGTTGCAATGACTGTGTTCTTGCTGCTGAGGAAAGCAGTTGCTGCAGTATCTCGAGTGGGGCTGTGTACGAGTGAAGAGGGAGTGCGAGGGTTCTGTCCAGTAGCAAGGTAAAATGGGGTCTGTCCAGTGGCGAGGTTCACTGTGTTGTTGTAGGAGAACTCGATGTCAGGCAGGTGGAGATCCCAGTCGTTCTGGCACGCGTTGACGCAGGCTCGCAGACCATCTTCAAGCGTTCGATTCATCCTTTCAGTCTGCCCATCTGACTGGGGGTGATAAGCAGTTGAGAGGCGAATCTTGGTCCCGAGCCTGTTGAAGAGGGTTTGCCAGAATCGGCTAAGGAAACGAGAATCACGATCAGAGATTAGAACAGAGGGGACGCCATGAAGACGTACCACCTCTTTGAAGAAAAGCTCAGCAGTATGCTGTGCAGTAGCTGTGGTGGATGTGGGAATGAAATGCGCCATTTTAGAGAGCTTGTCAACGATAGTGAGAATGGCATTATGATGAGAGGCAGTAGGGGGGAGATCAGTGATGAAGTCAAGAGTGACATGACTCCAAGGGAGCTCAGGAATGTCCAGGGGATGTAAGAGACCATAAGGAGCTGCGTTGCGAGCCTTGTTACACTGACAGATATGGCAGGAGCGCACGTAGGAGCGAACGTCACGAGAGAGCCTGGGCCAGAAAAAATTGGCAGAGATGGCCGCAAGCGTCTTGTCGACTCCAAAGTGTGCGTTCTGGTCATGATGCTCGCGAAGCAAGAGGTGACGCAGCTTTCGGTTTGCTGGAACACAGATGGCATGAGAGTCTGTCTTGTACCAGAAAGGGGATTCATAGTAGACAGACTTATGGGTAGGGGCAGAGGAGAGGTAAAATGAGTCACGCCGATATCCCTTGGTGAACTTGCTGATGAAGTTCTCATCCCACGTCACTGTGCCAATGGCTGAAAGCTGAGAGGGTGGAGGTCGAGTCAATGAGTCAGCAGGATTGAGGCAACCAGCACGGTACTCAATCTTCAGCTCAGGCACATACTGTTCCAAGTATTCCATCCAACGAGCCTGTCTGGGGGTAAGGTGAGGTTGGGACTTGAAGTGTTGAAGGGTGCAATGGTCAGTAAGGACAGTGACGGGTTGCATATGGACATAGCAACGCCATTTTTTTATGGCATGGACAATGGCCAACATCTCACGGTCATGAGTGGCATAGTTGCACTCAGCAGGTTTGAGTTTTCGAGAGTCGAAAGCAAGAGGTTGAAGGCCATGTCCCTGATCTTGACAAAGGATTGCACCCGTTGCAACACTGGAGGCATCTGTCCATATGGTATAGGGAAGGGAAGGGTTGGGAAGGGCTAGAGTAGGAGAAGAGGTTAATGCTTGTTTGGTGGCGTCAAAGGCTTTGTCTTCGTCTGGTCCCCAGTGGAATCCTTCTGTCTTACGCAGTAGATTAGAGAGGGGGGAAGTGATGGCAGCAAAGTGTTGAATGAACTTTCGATAATAGTTGGCGAGGCCAAGAAAGGCTTGCAGTTCCTTGATGGAAGTTGGAGGTTTCCAATCTTGGACTGCTTTTACCTTTGAAGGGTCCATGGACAACTGATTGTGTGAGATAATATGACCCAAGAAAGGAATCGAGGATCGAGCAAACTCACACTTGCTTTGTTTGACAAAAAGGCGGTGCTGGCGCAGACGAGTCAGCACCTGTCTTATATGATGAACATGCTCATCCAATGATTTGCTATAGATCAAAATGTCATCAATGAAGACAATGACAAATCGGTCCAAGAAATCACGGAAGATATCATTCATTATAGACATGAAGGTGGCAGGGGCATTTGTTAGTCCAAAGGGAAGGACAAGGAATTCAAAGTGCCCATACCGAGTTCGAAAGGCAGTTTTCTCAATATCTTCATCAGCGACACGTACTTGGTGATAGCCGCTGCGAAGATCAAGCTTAGAAAAGATTTTGGCCTCACCCAACTGGTCGAAAAGCTCCTCAACGCGAGGAAGGGGATAGCGGTTCTTGATGGTGATTTTGTTGAGCGCACGGTAGTCGATGCACATGCGCATGGTGCCATCCTTCTTTTTTACAAAGAGGATTGGTGCTGCATAGGGCGATGAGCTTACACGGATGAAGCCTTTGTCCAGGAGCTCCTCAAGTTGCTTCTGGACTTCTTGCAGCTCCGCCGTGCTCATCCGATATGTAGCACGTACAGTAGGCTCAGATCCAGGTTGTAGGCAAATTCTGTGGTCAACTGTTCGTTTGGGTGGTAGTCCTGGAGGGAGGTCTGAGGGAAAGACATCCTTAAATTCAGAAAGAAGTTGCTGAATTTCAGGGGGGTCATTAGACACAGGAGGAGATGGAGGGATAGATAGGGATTGAGAAATTTGGTGAAGATAGCAGAGGAAGAATTGCGCAGTGGGGTCTTTAAGGGATTTCTTTATCTGTCTTGCAGAGAGAAGGTTGCAAGTAGGTAAGGAAGGGGAAGAAGGGAATTGAGGTAGGGTGATGTCTGTGCCGTTATGCTTGATGATGACATGGTCATGGGTCCAGTCAATGGACGGATTCTTGGCAGAAAGCCATTTTCTTCCAAGAATGACATCGTGACCTTTCAAGGGAGCTTGCTGAAAGTAGAGCTTGTCCTTGTAAGATCCGATGGTGCAGTTAACGGGGTAAGGGACAAGGCCACACGAGAGGGATGACCCGTCGGCAAGTAAGACTGTCTGAGGCTTTATGTCTGATTGGAGAGGGAGGGATAATTCAGAGACCAGTGAGGAAGAGATGAAATTAGAGGAGGCACCACTGTCAATCAAGGCTTTAACGACTCGGCCTCGAATGGTCATAGAGAGGTAAAGGGGTTTAGATGGAGAAGGGTTTTCAAGGGAAGCGATCATGGGGCTATGGGTTGCACCAGAAAGTCGCCCCGCACTTACTGGTGACCACCTTTTCCAGGGGTAGGAAGAAGTGGTTTTGAATTTGGAGGATTGCGGCAGAATCGCCAGATGTGACCTTTCTTGCCGCACTTGAAGCAGACGACGGAGGGGTTCTGATTCCGCTTCTTCTCCATCACATCCAGGTCCATCGGAGCAGGTTCTTGCTGAGCATAGCCTGTTGAAACAGAGGGCTGATAGGAGGGAGCAAAAGGGAGCAACGGGGCGCGAGGAAACCTTGCTTTGTAAGCAAATTGAATTGAGTCATACCGTTCAGCGACTCTGATCATTTCCTCAAGCGCCGTGCAATCCCTCAGCTCAACCTCCATACGCACGTTCTGCTTCAACCCACGCTTGAAGCGGTCCATGCGTTCAGCGTTGGAGAGGTCGGGGATTTCCTGGGCGATGTCGCGGAAGTTGGCAGCGTACTCTTGAACGGATTTCAGCTGCTTGAGAGCCGCAAGTCGATCACGTGCCTTGATGCTCGGATTCACCGGTTGGAAAGCGGCCGTGAACGCCTGCGTGAAGTGCTGCCACGAGGTGATGGAGGTGTGTGCAGCTTGCCACCAAGCAACTGCGGAGCCGCGGAGTAACGTGCCGGCAAAGGCGCTCCATTCGGAAGGTGCAACGTGGCTCAGCGTCAAGTACTGCTCCACTAAAAAGAGCCAACGACTAACAACGGGTTGACTTTTGCCTGGGATGAAGAAATCGGGAATCGCCGGTCTAGCGCGCTGATTATCTCCAGAAGGCGTAGCAGGAGGAGGATTCGCTGCTACCGCACCGGCTGCAACCATACTAGCTTGCAACTCAGCTCGCAAGCTCTCACGAACTTCAGAAACGATTTGGGTGCGGTAATTCTCTAGAAAAGCCGCCCAATCGTCAGGAGAAGGGGGTTGCTCGGATAAGATCGCCCGTGGCGCCTTGGCATTTCTATCCTAGCTGGAGACAAGCAAGCAAGCTCATGATTATTTACAAGTAGCCTTGCCTTGTTGTCTCTCCTAGGAAATAGCTAAACAAGAATAGGAATTAACTATACAAGTCGTTTTCATTTTCCAAGTAGTGCTAGCGTCTTCGTCACCTTGTAGATGTCGATTGTAGTCTTTGCTGGCACTTGTAGTAGCTGCAGTAGTTAGTATCTAGGTTGCGCTGGCGCTTTCCACGCTTTGCTAGCTCTCGGAATCTGCTCTAGAGTCGTGCTGTGACTCACAGGCAGCTGTACAATTTTGGGGTTGCGGACTTGTTCAGTTCGAGGCGCACAATTTTGGTTGGACAAATCCAACCTCGAAATCTACAGTTCGCTGAGTTGGCGAACTTTTGGGTGAGTTCGCTTTCGCCTTGTAACAATGGGCATCCTGGCAAGGCCAGACGATCGAGCCGCGTCCAACATATATCGCGCAGCAGCTCTGGACGCTGGTCCGAAGGGTATAGTAGCCCGTCATGAATTACTGTGCTATGGCGAGACGATACTCGGCCCATAGACCGAGACAACAGCATCGTACGCGGCGTACGATCTTTCTTCCAGGCTGCAACGTTAGCAACGCTGTCCTCGTACGCCGCCATGCCACGACGTCCACTACAGCCATTTCTTAGCACGAAAAATAACGGCGCGTGTTCCGTCGCATGAAACCCGCAGTGCTCTGACCCGTACCCCACTGTAGGAATCTGGTTGGGGCGGAGAAAGTGAGAAAGCAGAGATAAGAATAGAGGATTTTACGGGTGCAGAACAGCCATGGTAAGTGTGGACATACAGAGAGAAAGACAGGGACAAGACATAAGGATGATGATCGTGCGATTAGATGATGATGGTGATGATGATGATGATCATGGGGCAGCTATAAGTTACACACAAACCTTGGGATAAGGGGTCTCCAGCACAATTCAAGGCAGCCCTGCGAAGCAGATACGTGGACCGCAACTGCTGCCCCAACACTGAACCAACCCCAGGGATTAGTTGTCATGGAAGAGTAGCAGCAACACTGAACCAACCCCAGGGATGAGTTGTCATGGAAGAGTAGCAGCATCAGCAACCAACCCCTATTACCGCTTCTCTCGGCTTGCATACGACGCCTATTTACAGGTACATCCACCCTATGAGTATCGCTTACATCCACCCTATGAATATCGCTCACTTCCCCAACCAAACACCCCAGTTACTTCCGCCAATCTGCACCAATTTCCCTGCTCCAAATGCATTTCCCACAAAACTCGTGGTGCCCAGGCAGCGCCCACGCAGACGAGCCACGTCACTGCTCCACCGCTACTTTTCCATCTGCGACCATGTGACCATCCTATGCCACCTGTCTCGCTCGTTGTTTACGGCATTATCATTCTCTACCCCTCTCCCCCCCGCCTCAACCCCCCGAAGTGTCATTATTCCACCACCCCCCACCTGCTTCCCTCACCGACGCGGCATTATTCCACCATCCCCTAGCCGCTGGTCACATCCCCACTGCTTTCACATCCCCTGCCCCACTGCTTCCACATCCCCTGCCCCACTGCTTTCACATCCCCTGCCCCACTGCTTTCACATCCCCTGCACCACTGCTTCCACATCCCCTGCCCCACTGCTTCCACATCCCCTGCCCCACTTCTTTCACATCCCCTGCCCCACTGCTTTCACATCCCCTGCCCCACTGCTTCCACATCCCCTGCCCCACTGCTTTCACATCCCCTGCCCCAATGCTTCCACATCCCCTGCCCCATTCCTTCCACATCCCCTGTCCCACTGCTTCCACATCCCCTGCCCCACTGCTTTCACATCCCCTGCCCCACTGCTTCCACATCCCCTGCCCCACTGCTTCCACATCCCCTGCCCCACTGCTTTCACATCGCCTGCCCCACTGCTTCCACATCCCCTGCCCCACTGCTTCCACATCCCCTGCCCCACTGCTTTCACATCCCCTGCCCCACTGCTTTCACATCCCCTGCCCCACTGCTTCCACATCCCCTGCACCACTGCTTTCACATCCCCTGCCCCAATGCTTCCACATCCCCTGCCCCACTGCTTCCACATCCCCTGCCCCACTGCTTCCACATCCCCTGCCCCACTGCTTCCACTTCCCCTGCCCCACTGCTTCCACATCCCCTGCCCCACTGCTTTCACATCCCTGCCCCACTGCTTTCACATCCACTGCCCCACTGCCTTCCACATCCCCTGCCCCACTGCTTCCACATCCCCTGCCCCACTGCTTTCACATCCCCTGCCCCACTGCTTCCACATCCCCTGCCCCACTGCTTCCACATCCCCTGCCCCCACTGCTTTCACATCCCCGCCCCACTGCTTCACATCCCCGCCCCACTGCTTCCACATCCCCTGCCCACTGCTTCACATCCCCTGCCCCAACTGCTTCCACATCCCCTGCCCCACTGCTTCCACATCCCCTGCCCACTGCTTCACATCCCCTGCCCCACTGCTTCCACCATCCCCTGCCCCACTGCTTCACATCCCCTGCCCCCCCCCCCCCCCCCCCCCCCCCCCCCCTGCCCCCACTGCTTTCACATCCCCTGCCCCACTGCTTCCACATCCCCTGCCCCACTGCTTCCACATCCCCTGCCCCACTGCTTCACATCCCTCCCCCTGCCCCCCCCCCACTGCTTCCACATCCCCTGCCCCACTGCTTTCACATCCCCCTGCCCCAACTGCTTCCACATCCCTGCCCCCACTGCTTCCACATCCCCTGCCCACTGCTTCCACATCCCCTGCCCACTGCTTTCACATCCCCTGCCCCACTGCTTCCACATCCCCTGCCCCCACCCCCTCTTCCACTCCCCTCCCCCACTGCTTCCACATCCCCTGCCCCACTGCTTCACATCCCCGCCCCCCCCCCCCCCCCCACTGCTTTCACATCCCCCTGCCCACATGCTTTCACATCCCCTGCCCCACTGCTTCCACATCCCCTGCCCCCACTGCTTCCACATCCCCTGCCCCACTGCTTCCACATCCCCTGCCCCACTGCTTCCACATCCCCTGCCCCACTGCTTGCTTCACATCCCCTGCCCCACTGCTTTCACATCCCCTGCCCCACTGCTTCCACATCCCCTGCCCCACTGCTTCCACATCCCCTGCCCCACTGCTCCACATCCCCTGCCCCACTGCTTTCACATCCCCTGCCCACTGCTTCCACATCCCCGCCCCACTGCTTTCACATCCCCTGCCCCACTGCTTCCACATCCCCTGCCCCACTGCTTCCACATCCCCTGCCCCACTGCTTCCACATCCCCTGCCCCACTGCTTTCACATCCCCTGCCCCACTGCTTTCCACATCCCCTGCCCCACTGCTTCCACATCCCCTGCCCCACTGCTTCCACATCCCCTGCCCCACTGCTTCCACATCCCCTGCCCCACTGCTTCCACATTCCCCTGCCCCACTGCTTTCACATCCCCTCCCACTGCTTTCACATCCCCTGCCCCCCACATTGCCTTCCACATCCCCCTGCCCCCACTGCTTCCCACATCCCCTGCCCCACTGCTTCCACATCCCCTGCCCCACTGCTTCCACATCCCCGCCCACTGCTTTCACATCCCTGCCCCCACTGCTTCCACATCCCCTGCCCCACTGCTTTCACATCCCCTGCCCCACTGCTTTCACATCCCCTGCCCCACTGCTTCCACATCCCCTGCCCCCACTGCTTCCACATCCCCTGCCCCACTGCTTCCACATCCCCTGCCCCACTGCTTTCACATCCCCTGCCCCACTGCTTCCACATCCCCTGCCCCACTGCTTCCACATCCCCCTGCCCCACTGCTTTCACATCCCCTGCCCCACTGCTTCACATCCCTGCCCACTGCTTCCACATCCCCTGCCCCACTGCTTTCCACATCCCCTGCCCCACTGCTTTCACATCCCCTGCCCCACTGCTTCCACATCCCCTGCCCCCACTGCTTTCACATCCCCTGCCCCACTGCTTCCACATCCCCTGCCCCACTGCTTTCCACATCCCCTGCCCCACTGCTTCACATCCCCTGCCCCACTGCTTCCACATCCCCTGCCCCACTGCTTCCCACCCCTGCCCCACTGCTTCCACATCCCCTGCCCCACTGCTTCCACATCCCCTGCCCCACTGCTTTCACATCCCCTGCCCCACTGCTTTCACATCCCCTGCCCCACTGCCCCCCCCCCCACTGCTTCCACATCCCCTGCCCCACTGCTTCCACATCCCCTGCCCCACTGCTTCCACATCCCCTGCCCCCACTGCTTTCCACATCCCCTGCCCCACTGCTTCCCATCCCCTGCCCACTGCTTCCACATCCCCTGCCCCACTGCTTTCACATCCCCTGCCCCACTGCTTCCACATCCCCTGCCCCACTGCTTCCACATCCCCTGCCCCACTGCTTCCACATCCCCTGCCCCACTGCTTCCACATCCCCTGCCCCACTGCTTCCACATCCCCTGCCCCACTGCTTTCACATCCCCTGCCCCACTGCTTTCACATCCCCTGCCCCACTGCTTCCCATCCCGCCCCTGCTCCACATCCCCTGCCCCACCTGCTTCCACATCCCCTGCCCCACTGCTTCCACATCCCCTGCCCCACTGCTTTCACATCCCCTGCCCCACTGCTTTCACATCCCCTGCCCCACTGCTTCCACATCCCCTGCCCCACTGCTTCCACATCCCCTGCCCCACTGCTTCCACATCCCCTGCCCCACTGCTTCCACATCCCCTGCCCCACTGCTTTCACATCCCCTGCCCCACTGCTTCCACATCCCCTGCCCCCACTGCTTTCACATCCCCTGCCCCACTGCTTCCACATCCCCTGCCCCACTGCTTTCCACATCCCCTGCCCCACTGCTTCCACATCCCCTGCCCCACTGCTTCCACATCCCCTGCCCCACTGCTTCCACATCCCCTGCCCCACTGCTTCCACATCCCCTGCCCCACTGCTTTCACATCCCCTGCCCCACTGCTTCCACATCCCCTGCCCCACTGCTTTCACATCCCCTGCCCCAACTGCTTCCACATCCCCTGCCCACTGCTTCCACATCCCCTGCCCCACTGCTTCACATCCCCTGCCCCACTGCTTCCACATCCCCTGCCCCACTGCTTCACATCCCCTGCCCCACTGCTTCCACATCCCCTGCCCCACTGCTTCCACATCCCCTGCCCCACTGCTTCACATCCCCTGCCCCACTGCTTCCACATCCCCTGCCCCACTGCTTCCACATCCCCTGCCCCACTGCTTCCACATCCCCTGCCCCACTGCTTCCACATCCCCTGCCCCACTGCTTCACATCCCCTGCCCCACTGCTTCCACATCCCCTGCCCCACTGCTTCCACATCCCCTGCCCCACTGCTTCCACATCCCCTGCCCCACTGCTTTCACATCCCCTGCCCCACTGCTTCCACATCCCCTGCCCCACTGCTTCCACATCCCCTGCCCCACTGCTTTCACATCCCCTGCCCCACTGCTTCCACATCCCCTGCCCCACTGCTTCCACATCCCCTGCCCCACTGCTTTCACATCCCCTGCCCCACTGCTTTCACATCCCCTGCCCCACTGCTTCCACATCCCCTGCCCCACTGCTTCCACATCCCCTGCCCCACTGCTTCACATCCCCTGCCCCACTGCTTCCACATCCCCTGCCCCACTGCTTCACATCCCCTGCCCCACTGCTTTCACATCCCCTGCCCCACTGCTTCCACATCCCCTGCCCCACTGCTTCCACATCCCCTGCCCCACTGCTTCCACATCCCCTGCCCCACTGCTTCCACATCCCCTGCCCCACTGCTTCCACATCCCTCCCCTGCTTCCACATCCCCTGCCCACTGCTTTCACATCCCCTGCCCCACTGCTTCCACATCCCCTGCCCCACTGCTTCACATCCCCTGCCCCACTGCTTTCCACATCCCCTGCCCCACTGCTTCCACATCCCCTGCCCCACTGCTTCCACATCCCCTGCCCCACTGCTTTCACATCCCCTGCCCCACTGCTTCCACATCCCCTGCCCCACTGCTTCCACATCCCCTGCCCCACTGCTTTCACATCCCCTGCCCCACTGCTTTCACATCCCCTGCCCCACTGCTTCCACATCCCCTGCCCCACTGCTTTCACATCCCCTGCCCCACTGCTTCCACATCCCCTGCCCCACTGCTTCCACATCCCCTGCCCCACTGCTTTCACATCCCTCCCCACTCACATCCCCTGCCCCACTGCTTCCACATCCCCTGCCCCACTGCTTTCACATCCCCTGCCCCACTGCTTCCACATCCCCTGCCCCACTGCTTCCACATCCCCTGCCCCACTGCTTCCACATCCCCTGCCCCACTGCTTCCACATCCCCTGCCCCACTGCTTCCACATCCCCCTGCCCCACTTGCTTCCACATCCCCTGCCCCACTGCTTTCACATCCCCTGCCCCACTGCTTCCACATCCCCTGCCCACTGCTTCACATCCCTGCCCACTGCTTCCACATCCCCTGCCCCACTGCTTCCACATCCCCTGCCCCACTGCTTCACATCCCCTGCCCCACTGCTTTCACATCCCCTGCCCCACTGCTTCCACATTCCCCTGCCCCACTGCTTTCTTCCACATCCCCTGCCCCACTGCTTTCACATCCCCTGCCCCACTGCTTTCACATCCCCTGCCCCACTGCTTCCACATCCCCTGCCCCACTGGCTTCACATCCCCTGCCCCACTGCTTTTGTCCACATCCCCTGCCCCACTGCTTCCACATCCCCTGCCCCACTGCTTCCACATCCCCTGCCCCACTGCTTTCACATCCCCTGCCCCACTGCTTCACATCCCCTGCCCACTGCTTCCACATCCCCTGCCCCACATCCCCTGCCCCACTGCTTCCATCCCCTGCCCACTGCTTTCACATCCCTGCCCCACTGCTTCCACATCCCCTGCCCCCCACTTGCCTGTCCACATCCCCTGCCCACTGCTTCCACATCCCCTGCCCCACTGCTTTCACATCCCCTGCCCACTGCTTCACATCCCCTGCCCCACTGCTTCCACATCCCCTGCCCCACTGCTTTCCACATCCCCTGCCCCACTGCTTCCACATCCCCTCCCATGCTTCCACCCCCCCACTGCTTCCACATCCCCTGCCCCCACTGCTTTCACATCCCCTGCCCCCACTGCTTCCACATCCCCTGCCCACTGCTTCACATCCCCTCCCCCCCTGCCCCACTGCTTCCACATCCCCTGCCCCACTGCTTTCACATCCCCTGCCCCACTGCTTTCACATCCCCTGCCCCACCCCACCCCTGCTGCTTCCACATCCCCTGCCCCACTGCTTCCACATCCCCTGCCCACTGCTTCCACATCCCCTGCCCCACTGCTTCCACATCCCCTGCCCCACTGCTTCCACATCCCCTGCCCCACTGCTTTCACATCCCCTGCCCCACTGCTTCCACATCCCTGCCCCACTGCTTCCACATCCCCTGCCCCACTGCTTTCACATCCCCTGCCCACTGCTTCCACATCCCTGCCCCACTGCTTCCACATCCCCCTGCCCCACTGCTTCCACATCCCCTGCCCCACTGCTTCCACATCCCCTGCCCCACTGCTTCCACATCCCCTGCCCCACTGCTTCCACATCCCCTGCCCCACTGCTTCCACATCCCCTGCCCCACTGCTTCCACATCCCCTGCCCCACTGCTTCACATCCCCTGCCCCACTGCTTCCACATCCCCTGCCCCACTGCTTCACATCCCCTGCCCCACTGCTTCCACTCCCCTGCCCACTGCTTCCACATCCCCTGCCCCACTGCTTCCACATCCCCTGCCCCACTGCTTCCACATCCCCTGCCCCACTGCTTCCACATCCACATCCCCTGCCCCACTGCTTCCACATCCCCCCCTGCCCCCCCTGCCCCACTGCTTTCACATCCCCTGCCCCACTGCTTCCACATCCCCTGCCCCCACTGCTTCCACATCCCCTGCCCCCACTGCTTTCACATCCCCTGCCCCCACTGCTTCCACATCCCCTGCCCCACTGCTTCACATCCCCTGCCCCACTGCTCCACATCCCCTGCCCCACTGCTTCCCATCCCCTGCCCCCCCCACATCCCCTGCCCCCTGCCCACCCCTGCCCCACTGCTTCCACATCCCCTGCCCCACTGCTTCCACATCCCCTGCCCCACTGCTTTCACATCCCCTGCCCCACTGCTTTCCACATCCCCTGCCCCACTGCCCACCCCCCCCCACTGCTTCACACCCCTGCCCCCCACCCCTGCCCCCTGCTTCCACATCCCCTGCCCCACTGCTTCCACATCCCCTGCCCCACTGCTTCCACATCCCCTGCCCACTGCTTTCACATCCCCTGCCCCACTGCTTCACATCCCCTGCCCCACTGCTTCCACATCCCTGCCCCACTGCTTCCACATCCCCTGCCCCCCCACATCCCTGCCACTGCTTCCACATCCCCTGCCCCACTGCTTTAACATCCCCTGCCCCACTGCTTCCACATCCGCTGCCCACTGCTTTCACATCCCTGCCCCACTGCTTCCACATCCCCTGCCCCACTGCTTCCACATCCCCTGCCCCACTGCTTTCACATCCCCTGCCCCGCTGCTTCGATTGCCCCTCTCCCTGCTTCTATTCCCCCCCTTCCCCCTCACCTGCTATCCCCCAATCCCGCCTCCCTGCCTTCCCCTATGCTTCCATAGCCCTCCCACCTCACCGCCCCTCCCCCGATGCTCACTCCGCTACTCGGGGATGAGGACGTCAAACTCGCTGCAGGTGAAGAGGACCCTCGGCACAGATGAGAATGCCCAGGCGGCATGCTCCTTCTTTTACCACGGCCCATTGGCTTTGCTGCGGTGTGCGATGGCGTGACGCATCCATGCCAGAACGTTCTTGTGATACTCGTCTGTTGCATCCTCGTTTTGTGGAGCGCTCTTTTTTAGGCTAACTGCCCCAATGTTTTTCATCCTGTGCTCCACCTGTATAACGTTCAGACCAAATATTAGAAACTGGCGATGTATGCTTACAATCACAGAAAAAAACATAGAATACTTATTCCAAAGAGCCAATAGGCAACATGATATGGCTTGAGGATCAGAGGGCCAGCCCTCTTCTGATTGAATGAAGCTGAGATGCCCAGTTCAAAAGGGGATGTGGAGAAGGGCACCCGAGCCTTGCTCGCATGCCATTTAAGCAGGTTGAAGGTGTCAGCCTCTGCCAGGAAGAAACAGGGAAGAGCAGCAACACAGTATATGGGGTGCAACTGCATGATCTACAAAAATACCGGTATGACAAAAATAAGTGTGCTCACCAGCCGCGTATTTGTTGAGAAACTCCGACAGCGACGTTGGTGCACCGCGAACAGGAGGCACCCTCACATGTGCGTCCTTGGGAATGGTGTACGGCAAGCCGTGCATAAGAGACACTTTTGTGCGGCCCTGCTCATGAATCTTGCACCTCAAAACCTGTAGCTGCCGAGTGAACCGGAGGCGGCGCAAACGGTCGTTGTTCCACACCATGTGGACTTTGAGTTTTAGCTCAGGATCCTGGAATGAGAGGGCCTTCAGCATTGCAGCCTCAACTGATGGATCCCCAGGCCACATCGTCAAATCCTCGTCCGGTGTGTTGTACAGTAAGATGCTGATCGTATCCTTGCATAAGGTCTGCAGTGAAGAAAGTTTGGGGAAAAAAATGGATGATACGGAAGTTCTTGTTGTATGGATTAACCATAGCGCTGAAAAGGGAGGACCATCCAGATTGCTTGCCGCTCTCAGAATGTTGGATGCTGCCTAGTGTCAATCTTACGTGCCGAGCTCTGAAGCGGTTGGGCACGGCAAGTATGGTAGGGGCGGCTCCTAGTCGAGGGGAAAAAGGCATAGCCAGGGGCACGACTCTCTCCCTGACCACCATGCTGAGCCGTGGCTGTGATGGGGTCAATGTCCAACGTTTTATAAGTCTTACCTGCCTGTCTCGTGTAACGGACCTTATAACGAGGCAGCACGCTCTGCTGACCATTCAGATGCTGCTACCGTAGATTATACACCCATGTGCTGTGCTATACCTCACAAGTTGTTGCCAGAACCCTCCCCCATTGGTGTAAATTCGATCTTTTATACCATCCTCAGGATGGGGATGCGTTTCTTTTGAAGCACTTTCCAGTTCTTCACTCAAAATTTTCTGGGGACATTTAATTCCCAACAAAATCCACTATAATGATGCACACATGCAGCAAGCACAACTACAGTCAAGATCATTTCAAACAGGGAAAAGGCGATTGCCAGCTGCTTTAGCCCACTCGTGTTGCCTTGATTGATGCCCTGCGCCATTTTATCTTCCAGCTGCACAGATAGGCGACACATATGGTGACGGGAATGTGGGAATAGAGGCTGCAGTTAGGGGAGACGAGAAGATGATCATTTGTTGCAAAAATTTGCATGGTGAAAATAATAATTTCTCCCCATGGCATCGCAAGGGCTTGACCTGAGGGTATGAGCTGCCAGCAGCTCTCCCCATGGCATCGTGAGGCCATGACCTGAGAGAGTTGCAGATGTCGTAACCATGGCCAGCTCCTCAAGTTAGTGAGACTTACACATGTCTTACCTCCATCTAGAAGCCACGGCCATGCAGTAGGACAGATAGACAGCACCACGGACGTGTTGCAGCATGTAACCTGCACATGGCGGATGGCGGAAAAGGGGTTTGGGGCGTTTAGCAAGTGGCTACATGTGCGCGCACCTGCATGCGCTTCCATCTGTGCTGTGCACTGCAATGCGCGCGCTGCCATGTATGCACTACCATGTGCTCACTGCCATGTGCGCGCTGCCATGAGCGTGCTGACATGTGCCCGCTGCCATGTGCGCGCGGCCTTGTGGGCGCGGCCATGTGGGCGCTGACATGTGCCCGCTGCCATGTGCTCGCTGCCATGTGCTCGCTGACATGTGCCCGCTGCCATGTGCACGCTGCCATGTATGCCCTGCCATGTGCCCGCTGCCATGTGTGCGCTGCCATGTGCGCGCTGACATGTGCCCGCTGCCATGTGCGTGCTGCCACTTGTGCGCTGCCATGTGTGCGCTGCAATGTGCGCGCGGCCATGTGCGCGCTGCCGTATGCGCGCTGACATGTGCCCGCTGCCATGTGCGCGCTGACATGTGCTCGCGGCCATGTGCCCGCTGCCATGTGCGCGCTGACATGTGCTCGCGGCCATGTGCCCGCTGCCATGTGCGCGTTGCCATGCGCGCGCGGCCATATGTGCGCTGACATGTGTCCCCCGCCTTGTACGCGCGGCTATGCGCGCGGTGCCATGTGCGCGCTGTCATGAGCGCGCGGCCATGTGCCCGCTGCCATGTGCGCGCTGACATGTGCCCGCTGCCATGTGCGCGCGACCATGTGCCCGTTGCCATGTGCGCGCTACATGTGCCCACTGCCATACGCTCGCTGCCGTGGGCGTGCTGCCATGTGCGCGCTGCCATGAGCGCGCTGACTTGTGCCCGCTGCCATGTGCGCGATGCCATGTGCGCGTTGCAATGTGCACGCGGCCATGTGCGCGCGGTGCCATGTGCGCGGTGCCATGTGCCCGCTGCCATGTGCGGGCGGCCATGTGCCCGCTGCCATGTGCGCGCGGCCATGTTCCCGCTGCCATGTGCGCACTGACATGTGCCCGCTGCCATCTGCTCGCTGCCGTGTGCGCGCTGCCATGAGCGCGCTGACTTGTGCCCGCTGCCATGTGCGCGTTGCCATGTGCGCGCTGCAATGTGCATGCGGCCATGTGCGCGCGGTGCCATGTGCCCGCTGCCATGTGCGCGTGGCCATGTGCCCGCTGCCATGTGCTTGCTGACATGTGCCCGCTGCCATGTGTGCGCGGCCATATGCCCGCTGCCATGTGCGCGCTGACATGTGCCCCCTGCCATGTGCTCGCTGCCGTGCGCGCGCTGCCATGAGCGCGCTGACTTGTGCCCGCTGCCATGTGCGCGCTGCCATCTGTGCGCTGCCATGAGCGCACTGCAATGTGCACGCGGCCATGTGCGCGCGGTGCCATGTGCCCGCTGCCATGTGCCCGCTGCCATGTGCGCCCTGCCAGGTCCGCCCTGCCATGTCCGCGCTGCCATGTGCGCGCTGCCATGTGCGTGCGGCCATGTGCGCGCTGACATGTGCGTGCGGCCATGTGCGCGCTGACATGTGCCCGCTGCTATGTGCGCCCTGCCATGTCCGCGTGGCCATGTGCGCGCTGCTATGTGCGCGCTGTTATGTGCGCGCTGCCATGTGCACGCTGTCATACCATTGGTTCATGCAGCCATACCACCACGTATGCTGCCATATGGACTGGAGAGAGGGGCTGCTGAGTATACCCCTGACTTGACTGCGCTTGAGCGCCGGGGTAGCAGACGCAGGTGACGAGTGATGAGCGGTCCCGGGGCACGGGTAGAGTGGGGGATTGAGGAATGAGTGGGAAAGAGCAGAGAAAACGCATCAGTGGAAACGTATCTGGAAAAGGACAGAGGGAATAACTCGGGGAAATAGGGAGAGGACACGTGGTCTTACCGAGCAGCACGAGGCGAGCTGCGACAGCTAGGACGAGGGCGGAAAGCGAGTGGCCATGACGATAGTCGAAGGCCGCAGAGCTGATGGGTCGCTTTTCTATAGCGTCCCAAATCGGAGATCTGTACATAGTATCCTTAGAAGATATGCCCCAAGACGACCCTCCAACTGACTCATAGTCAAATCAAAATGCATTATCATCTTCTATTCCAGACGACGACCTAGCCTACCCCCTTTCCCACCGTTCAAAGCGCCCCCATTTCACAGGTGCACGATCCAGTCCGTGGCGCCGTGTAAAACACAGCTACGTGCTTTTCCTAAGTTGCGAAAGGACATGCGCGTGACATTGGAGTACAGCTAATTGCAGAGAATCATGAGGCGATTGACGAATGCTAAGCTAAGAGCCTAGCTAGCCACGACTAGTTGAATATTTGAAGACTCGTTCCTAGCTAAGGCATAGACATCTGCGATTTGAGGTGGTGGGGAAACCGAGAGAGGGAGTTGGGTTAGGGTTTGTGTACGAGAGTTTGGATGGGTTGGGATGGATGGGAAGCATTGGTTGGTGGTGGGTTCCCCAAGTGAGAAGGTGGTGGTTGGGCTTCCTCACTGGTGATCAAAGTTTTTGCAGCTCGAGCTGTGCAATTATCCATCCATGGCCTATATTTTACGGGTAATTATCAGTATTTTAATAATTTAACGAGTCATTTTAGACCGGAACTCCCTTTTTCACGGATACGGTTATCTCCGAGCACAGGGGTTAAAGGGTCGTTTCTGGCTCGTAAATGGGTTGTAAAAGTAGGTTTAGTGGGATTTTGGCCGGAAAACGGACTTTGACGAGTAAGACTGGGGCCGAAAACGGACTTCAACGGGTGGCTTTGGTAGGGAGCCCGGATATGACTATTGGCTAAAATTTCAATCAGAAGCCTTGTTCCAAACCACCACCTGGACGGTTCATGAGCTGGATGGAGCCATGTCACAAGTTTCACGCTGGAAAGCCACGTGGCCCAGATTGGTTGGTGAACATTTTCGCTATGTGTTATAAGGACACACCATCTCCTTATCCTTACAAATTTTTGTAGCGAAACTCATTTTGTCGCGTATGCGATGTTCCGACACACATGGCCAGGTTTCGTCCGCCTGGGAGTCCCACCCTGCGGACATACTTCCTCTCTTGTTGTGGGACTCTTCGCACACTGCACCTAAAGCATTCCCCAAAGCGTGCTACATTTGCGGGCATGTTTTGGGGGCCTGAAATTTTGTGACGAGGCTACAATGTCCTTGCCGTCTTCACCTGGATCGCGTTTCAATCCCCGCCGTTTCTCATCCTGGGTTGCGACTACTTCGTTCTGAGCTACTCAAGCCGCGGTATGAATCGGCATCAATCGCCAAGATGGATCGAGATGCATTCCTACGTCCATCGCAACGCCTCCTTTGAGGAGGAGCCGTACAACTTTTGCTACTGCGTCAAGAGATGCATTCATACGTCTGAAGTGCGCTCGCCGAGTCCCACGCATCACAATAACTGCTTCAAGGTTTCAAGGCAACACCTCCGTCATCGCTACCATGCCGCGAGGCCGTTCGAGATGCAACGACGCATGCTTACGTTATTCGCAATGTCTCCCCCTACTTTTGCTAGTGCTTCAAACCCAGATGCATTCATAAGCCTGAAGCACGCGGGGCATTGGCCCGCGCATTCGCGATCATGGCCTGAGAAGGTCTAGAGGCAACACCTTCAGTTGCTATGCTGTGAGATCGTTCGACGGCAATCACCAGCGGCTCGCGAATTCGAATTTGAATTTGCGAAGCTTGCGGGATCATGGGGAATTGAGTGCAGCTATGCCGCTTAGCAACACGCAAGAGGTGAGGAAAAGCCTCATCTAGGACGTGTTTTGTGCGCGATACTGCGTTCATGATTGCTACGCGAAAGTCACGAACAAAGGTTGGTTCAGTTATTCTAGAGCCGTGGAGGGCGCGAGTCACATCGCCAACAATTTCGGATAGAGGATCGGATACAGCAGTCTGTAACATTATCACATGCACACGCCTTTCAAACGAGCCTCTGGTTCGCACTCGTAATACGATGTAATATGGTATAGCAGACGCCTATCACAGGCACTCGGCTCCAGTCCCTAAGGAGTCGGTAGAGCCTAGTAGCCCCCCGCCCTGAGGAGTCGGTAGAGCCTAGCTGGCGGGTCCGACCACAGCACTGGTCGGCAGCTAAGAGGGTTTTGTGTTATCTAGCAAGTACATCGGGCATGGGGCTAGTGCTAGGAGGACGTAGACCAGTGGTCCTGATAGGGCACACAGACGTTTCGTGGGCCGACGACGCTGAGACGCTCAGGTCCTCTCAGAGCTACTGCTTTAGGATTGGTGCAGGCGCTATCTCGTGGAGGTCCACCCGCTCTTTGTTTGTTGCGCAGTCTAGCTGCGAGGGTGAGATCTACGCTAGTGCCATGGCAGCACAAGAGCTCCGCTGGCTGACGATCCTGCTCACAGACTTAGGTGAGCAGCCTAGCTCTGCCCCATTCTGTACGCTGACAACAGGGCCATGATCCTCCTGTGTCAGGAGCCTCGACTCGAGGGCAGAGCGAAGCACATCCAGCTGCGGTACTTCCTCTTGCGCGAGCTGCAGCAGCGACACCAGGCCTGCGTAGTTCACTTGGCCTCCGGTGCCAACACAGCTGATATCTTTACTAAGGTGCTTGCGCCTAAAGATCATCAGCGGCACTGTGTACAGCTTGGTCTAGTTCCAGTAGCTCCTCACTTGCTAGGACCTTGATTGTGTACTACTTTTATTATATTCTCCTGACTAGCCTTGTGGCTTTTGCTCCAGTGGCCGGACGAGTAGTGTTAGAATACTGGAATGACTAAGCATAGGCGGCCATGAATGGTGGGAGGAAACCTAGATCTAGAACAGTAGGAAAATGTCGAGAGGAAAGGAGTCGAGAATAGAAGAGGGAGGCATACAAGAAGGGTGGTTGTACCCTTTACAGTAGAGTTCAGTAATAGCCTATCAAGCCTACCATTAGATATAAAATATATATAATTTAACACATCCCCTAGGCTTGGTAGCTGAAAGCCCACCACACACACAGCACACACACACACACACACACACACACACACACACACACACCCCCTACCCTAGCACCCCAATACCCAGCAGCAGCCATGGCCATTCCAGCATGGCCAACCTGACGGCGCGTGAGGCGGGGCGATGGTTGCAACAAGGGCAGCGGCGACACCGTCTGCAACGAGTGCAGCGTCGATAGCGGCGGCGGCGGCGGCGGCGGTGGCGTGCGGTGGGAACGCCCAGCGGCAACAGCGGCAACAGCGGCGCCGGCGGCGGCTTCGACGACAGCAGTCGTCGGCGGTGCAGAGCTCGCAGCACTTGGCGGCATGGCCGGGTTCCGCGATGGTGGGACGGCCGGTGCAAGGCAGCCGTCGGCTACGGCGAGTAAGAGGGGACGCAGGGGACGGGGGCGGGGCTGCAGCAGCACCTGGTGTGGCGCGACAGCGTGCAGGCGTGCTGACCAGCGCTAAGGCCGAGCGTTGGCCGCCACCGGCAGTGTTGTACGCACGCTGGCAGCATGTCGCCACGGCAGCACGACAAGACGGTCGCGGCGGTGCGACGCGGCCGGCGGCACAAGGACGACGTCGCCACAGCTAGATGTTGATGCTACGGCAGCGCGACGCCACGGCTGCGCGTCGAGACGGCCGCGGCAGGACGACGCAGCCGGCGACAAGACGACGCGGCCACAAGATGGCAGCGTGAGGAAGAGGGGAAGAATGCACGGCGGAAGCGTAATAGGCAGGCCCCAGTAGGGCAACCTGCTCTGTTAGCATGTTGGAATACTGGAATGACTAGGCATAGGCGGCCATGAATGGCGGGAGGAAACCTGGATCTAGAACTGTAGGAAAATGTTGAGAGGAAAGGAGTCGAGAATAGAAGAGGGAGGCATACAAGAAGGGTGGTTGTACCCTTTACAGTAGAGTTCAGTAACAGCCTATCAAGCCTACCATTATATGTAAAATATATATATTTTAACATGTAGTGCCGCCATGGTTTGCTCGTCTTGTTTGTACCCTTATGACTGGTCTTCAGACCCTTGCCTTACAGGTTGGACTAGTAGTTCCACCCTGAGCTGCGTGTCTCTTGCCAGGCACCGCCCCTTGTCTAGCCTAGAGGGTGTGTCAACATATATTTGTATATGGTATAGGTTAGATATGTGCATGCTTATAGAGGGTACAACACCATAGAACAAAACCTCACTGTATGGCACAATCTAGTTCATTGTGTTATTCTAACATTTCACAGGGTGATATGAATTGCTATCAAGGTTGTTCATTACCTCTTCTTGTCGAATTGTATATATATATATGTTTAGGCTTGGTATTTGTACTATATTGCTGAATCTTATTGTAGAGGGGACAATCCACCCCCTTCTTGTATCTCCTCTTTCCTAGTGCCTCTCTTTTCTCTTGACAATTCTGCTCCCTAACTAAACCTCTCTACCTCCTATGGCTACCTAGTTTCTAGCCTTTTTTGAAGTCATGTTCTCATTGCATACTCTTTGACAAGCGTCGGTTGAAAAGTAGTAAGGAATGCTAAATTGTAGAGCATCCTTCAAATTGTTATGAATGGGACTGCCGAGTAGCGCGGAGGGCAATGGCGAAACTGTGAACGAGTGAATGACAATAAAATGAAAGAACACACAATATATAGAAAGCCTAGGGTGATCCTGGACGTAGGATCGGACGGTTCGGGAAAAGTGTCGAAGGGCCTCGATGTGTCGTGGCGAGGTCTGGAAAGTGTCAAACATGTGTATCTCTAATGTTTGTATAGACTGTATAGGGTTGCCTCTTAGAGGGTACAATACTTAGGTATATTCACTTGTACTCTCTCTTGCTAGTCATTCAATTCTCTCAGTTCTAAGATGGTATCAGCAGTAGGTAGGTCCCGCCGCCCGCCCATGCTTCCGCCCTAGGCCCTAGCCGCCCCCGCGCCCATCCTAGCTGCGCCCGCGCGCCCGTTCTAGCTGCGCCCGCCGCGCCCGTCCTAGCTGGCCCCCCGCGCCCGTCCCCACGGCCCTCCCGCCCGTCCTAGCTGGCCCCACGCCCGTCCTTACCGGCCCCCGCTCCCGCCCTAGCCGGCCCCGCCCCTGTCCTAAAGGCCCCCGCGCCCGTCCTTCAAGCCCCCGCGCCCGTCCTAGTCGGCCCCGCGCCCGTCCTGGTGGCCCCCGCGCCCGTCCTAGTGGCCCCCGCGCCCGCCCTAGCTGGCCCCCGCGCCCGTCCTACAGGCCCTCACGCCCGTCCTAGCCGGCCCCCGTGCCCGTCCTTCAGGCCCCCGCGCCCGTCCTAGCCGGCCCCGCGCCCGTCCTAGCCGGCCCCCGTGCCCGTCCTTCAGGCCCCCGCTCCCGTCCTAGCCGGCCCCGCGCCTGTCCTAGCCGG